ATGACCAGATAGACATAGAGAAGTTATTTCATAATGGATAACAACATATAAGTACTAGCATCTAATAGTTTTCCAAGCTTATCGTATGAGTTTTCAATTTTGAGTCAATTTTACTCCTTCAAATGGTTGGACATGTTTAGAAATTTGAACTAGTTTCCGAAATTTTCTTAAAAAAATTTCAAAATATGTAAGCTCCTAATTTTCCGAATTGGAATGGATATTGAAATTCCAAATTTTTTTGGAACGGAATTGGAATAGAATTTCCATTTCGAATTTTTTTTTGGATTGGAATTGGAATCCCCTTATTCCTATCCGATCTGTCCGAAAATGAGCCTATTTATGAACCTATTACAAAAACCTTTTTTGGAAAAAAAGAGAAGAAAATAGATCAAACATACCCTTAAATTCCATTCTAATTTTTCAACCATAAAAATGAAAACATGAATTGGTGAAATGGGGCCAGAGCCCAACAACAAAGACTACAAACAGGCTCTAGCCTTGCAACTCCTAAAATCCTTAACTAGCAAACCCACCCACACAAAGGGCTGGGGGAAACAAAACAAAGAAAGAAAAAACATGAAATCATGATGGCACAACTTACCCAAATTGCTGAAATGAACTTTGTGTTAACTGAAATAAGAAACTATACCACAACTGAGAAGAATATTTATAAAATCATGTAAAAATTTACTCAACTGAACTACAACGCATCTTACCTTCATGTTTTTCGTCGCGGTCCCTTCAATATCAATAATGCACGATAGGTGAGATGGATGAAGAGAGAGGCAAAAGAAAGATGAGAAGATAGAGTTGTGAGAGATGTTCATGCAAGGAGGAGAGAGCAGATTGAGAAGGGTGAGGATCTTGTTTGGATTTTACGAAGCCCTAAGTTGAGCACAACAAACTTAACTGTTGGATCAAGATCAAGTAGGGCACATATGCATGTGATGTACGAAATGTGTAACCGTTACGCTTGCAATATATATACATGCAATTGGTAGCTAGTAAAATACATTTGTAGTACATTTATATTGTATATACATTAATTAATTTCTTAAAATATGTATATATATACATATATTTATCACCATTTTTTTTAATTTTGAGAAGAAAAACTATATTCTTATTCAACATAAGGACCTCAGGCGCCCCCCTCATTTTCAAGATAATTTGGGCTCCTCGGACCATAACTTCTGGCATGCTTTTGAGTTGAGTGAAGAACCGAAGTAATGAAAGTGTGCCGGTTTTGAAAGAAGGAGAGTGTTCTTTAACTGAGGATCAAGACAAAAAAGGTTATGAAGGAAGTGCGTTTTCCGTGCTTTAGAATAGAAAGAAATTTAGGGGCTCCCTATCCCTTAGGGGAGGTGAACCTGAGAGGAAGACAACCCTCGTTAACGAAAGGCAGCTAGATGGTTCAGTCAGAGGTTGGGAAGGGGTAGTAGAGGACGTGACACCTCCACTACTATAACTCCCCAACACTACTATCTTAAGGGAACTCCTCGTTCATAGGAACTTCTACTTATAGTTGTTCTTCCTACTAAGAGGAAATCCATGTAGAATACAGTGTTTTGAGACCCTTAATAAAGGCATACTTATTAAAATAAGGCATTTTAACGGGGCTTAATGCCAAACCCGATAGTTCAACTAACCCAACCCGATAATTCAATCAACCCAACCCAAAAGTAGCTGGGTTGGGTTGGTTTAGAATTCATATATTATATATCGTTTATTTGTCAGGAAAGATTGCACATGTGATTTAAAGTGATTATTTTATGCTCTTAATTAGGGTAACTCCTAATTTAACATCCATGTAACCCAAAATTAATGTAAACATGAGAAATCAACTTCGTCTTTAAAATACTTTATTGTTAAAGATATAATCGTCATATAGGATAAGCTTTATCTTCCGGACCGGAAGTTTCTTAATTTTGTTGAGTTATGATTTTGATCACAGAAGGTGATCAAGACAAGAAGACGAACAGATCATGTGTACAATTTGAATGCAAACAAAGACTACGGAAACATACTTATGGAATGGTTAGGGAAAAAGACCAGGGCAAATCAAAATATATGTCTCCAGCTGAAAGGGATGGAAGCAATATTTATTTATTTATTTTTGTCTTGGTTCCAGTCTCCAGAAGCTATATACACAACTTTGTGGTGTAGGTGCATCCTAATCCAGTCTCTGGCATGGCAACTTCCTACTGGTTGCAGGAATTTCCCCCAGAGGCTGTCTGAGTCAGCATCTACAAGTCAGCATCCAACTGAGTTGTACACCTGTTCACTGCAGAATTGCAGACTCTCAATTTAGCTGCTCTCTTTTTGTTTACTATTTTTAATCTTTATGTCGACCATCAGTTTAGTGACTTATTGACTACTTGTGAAGTGTAAACTTGTGAAGTAGTTGAATTTAGCAAATCCCAGACTTTCAATTTAGAAACCATACATATGATATGCTGGTCTTGCTTCGTTTTTGGAAAGTTTTTTGCACGGCGGAGTAATTGAACTCATCACATATTCCAGCATTGAGAAAAGAAGTACGAGTGGACTAACAACTACTTTAGTAATTTCTTACAAGCTAATTGGTCATTTATTTCGTGGTCGAGAAATTATAATGGAATTACTTTACTTTAAACTTGCTTTTGGTAGCTTTCATGGGGGGATTCATCTCTACCTTGTGATTGATGATAGGTAGGTACCATTGGTTATATGACAGCTACAGTTACTTATGACCATCCAAACAAAGCAAATTGGCATTGTAGATGCATGTCTATATCATTATTAGTTAATCACATGTCAAATAATCAAAAGAACATGTATAAAAAAGATTAAGATTTATGAGCATTGGGATAAGAGAGATTAAAAAAAAACCTAAAATCTGATATTTCTTGGTATAAAAGATTCAATATGTTATCATGAAGTAGTTTAGTACTTACCTTATGGAGGTTATGTAAGAAAAAATGTTGTAGTTAGTGGGTCAGTAGTAAATTGGAATTGTCAATCCAAACAAATCAGGACTGATAATTCGTGGTTAAGTGATGGATATGAGATGTCATACGAGAATAAACACACCTTCAATCATAAATGCAAAATTGAACACATTAAATATGATTTACTATATATAATTTATAAAATTAAAAAATTAAAAAAAAGAGTTTTAAACATACTCTCACTCTCTCTCGACTTCCAACACCAAAAAATTCAAATTCAAATTCAAAAAATGGTAAGATATCGAGTAAGGTCATGTTTATTATTTTAATCCCATCTTTACCTCCAATAATCTTATGAGTAATTCTTTCATGATTAGTAGTCATATTTCGATTCTCGCTCATACTTTAATCTCATGATTCTTTTACGGATAATCCTCGCTTATCTAGATTTGTTTTATTTATCGATAATTATAGAGTGTTGTTATTTCCACCAATCTGTCATATTTTCCCACTTACCTTATCTTCAAAATTTTAAAGACAAATTTACCCATTTATAAAATGACTTCTAAGGACTTAGGGACAAAACCAATCTCCCTCACCTAAGTGTGGGCAACCATTTTATACCAGCCATTGGATTAATCTTACAATACATAGAGCCTTTTATTAACTTAAATTCTTGACCCGCATATTGCACACAACTTCTTCTTCCTCATCTAGCCATCTCTTTGTTTTCTAAAAGCTTCCCAAAGTTTTTCTATTTTTCCATCATAAATCTGATATCTCTCAAAGGTATTATCATTTTCTCTGCGAAACAAATGTGGGCAAAATTAATTTTCCCTTCAAAGGCTCCTATTGTCCTTTTAAGATTTCATAAAATTCTATGTCAGGAGCCTGGGGACCATAAGCATTCGAACCCATGCTTTAACTTCTTGTTCTTCAACCACATATGTATTTAAATAAATAAATAAGAAATTAAAGAAAACCTAAAAATAAATAAATACCCAAATCCCCTCTTCTATTGCACACAACCCCTCTCATCACAAAGCCCATGCGTCACCTCCTGAACTTTGAAAGAACCACAATTGGCTTGTTGGAAAAAAAGGGGGGTTTCCCTTAACACGGGCGAGGAAGTAAAACGGACATAAGTTGGGTTTTTGAAAGAATTTGCTTTGAATTAATAATTAAAAGGTATTTTAGGAATAATGGTGGGTGAAAAGATATGATTGTATTTTTTTTTCAAATTTACATAGTGAGTGAGAAGATAAGGTGGACGGAAAAATAGGACAGGTGGGTGGAAATAGTAGCACTCTAATTATATGTCTTGGAGCGAGCTTATTCTTCTACGGCCTGCCCAATGTTAGCATTCAGATCGATTCTCATCCTTGGCCCTGAAAGGTGGACACCACCCGCCTTGCCCATATACTTTGGATCGGAACCACAATTGAACAAGAGGGCAGGGTAAGTTTTCTCTCTGCTCCTTCTCCATTGTGCCACGTGTACATGGTGGAGTGAAACGTGAAAGAGGTTTCAAAGGGGGATGTCTTTTGGTGTTACATTATCCAGTCAGCAAACACAAAACCTAAAACCTACGGGCATTATTTCCTTAGCAAGAATAATGATATAGGTGGGGAGGAGGGGAGGGGGGAAGGGGGAAGGAAGGGGTCTTGTCTTGGTAGTAGTTATGTTCGATCCAACAGTAGAAGAGGCAAAACCCATAAAGCTTTCTCCACCATGTCTTCTATTATTTTTGCCACGTGTATCCCCGAATCTTAGCTACTCATGGTGGGTCCAGATGGGCCAAAGGCCTATCAGCATGCCCTTGGGCCCCACAGGAACCTCTGACTCAGCACGGGGGCCCCACACCCCACAATGCATAGCCAACCACAAGATAACGTAACAACTTTTCTCCGCCACTTGTTGTTGGCCACGCGTCGCTTCCTGGATTCTTTCCCGCCCCACTGGGCATTTGGCTCCCTGCCTACAGTTAGACCCCCCCCAACTAACCTCTCCTTCCACACTCCTCAACTCAATTATTACTCAAAAACTTAAGAGTCTGAGAAACAGAGAGAGATGTTGAAGGAAGAGAGCAATGGCGCTGCTGCCACCAACTGGGCACGTGTTTGCGACACGTGCCGGTCCGCAGCTTGCACGGTGTACTGCCGTGCAGACTCTGCGTACCTGTGCTCTGGCTGCGACGCCACTATCCACGCTGCAAACCGTGTGGCGTCGCGCCACGAGCGCGTGTGGGTCTGCGAGGCGTGTGAGCAGGCCCCGGCGGCTTTCTTATGCAAAGCTGATGCGGCCTCGCTCTGCACTGCCTGTGACGCAGACATCCACTCTGCCAATCCGTTGGCGAGGCGCCACCAACGTGTCCCAATTCTGCCCATCTCCGGTTGCCTGTACGGACCACAGGCAACCGACCCGGGCGGGATAGAGGTGGGGTCCGCTGCAGCGGAGACAGAAGATGGGTTCTTGAGCCAGGAAGGAGATGAAACCATTGATGAGGAAGATGAGGATGAGGCAGCATCATGGTTGTTGCTCAATCCTATGAAAAACAATAACAACAACTGTAACAATAACAATAATCAGAGTAATGGGTTCTTCTTTGGAGTGGAGGTTGATGAGTATTTGGATCTTGTGGAGTACAACTCATCATGTGGTGATCAGAACCAGTTCACTGATCATCATCAGCATAACCAGCAGCAAGAGCAGCAGCAGCAACATTATGGTGTGCCTGTGCCACACAAGAACTATGGAGGTGATAGTGTTGTGCCAGTTCAGATGCAGAAGCAAAGCTTTCATCAGTTGGGTTTGGAGTATGAGTCTTCAAAAGCTGCCTACAGTTACAATGGTTCTCTTAGTAACACTGTAAGCTTCTCTCCCCACTCTACTGTCCATACAAATGGTTCTGTTTCTTTGCTTAATGCTAGCTCAATATTTTGTTCAAATCAAAACCCTCCTAGTAAAAATTACTACCAGTACTAATTTACTAGCTTTTAATACTATAATTTAGTTCTAGCTGTTGAAAATCCTGGTGGGTTATTATCCAGTGAATCAAGTTCTTGTGCTGCTACAGTAGTACTTTCTTTTTATCTTGGGAACCATGATTTGGGTTCCAAATCTCATCAAAGTCTCATTTCTGTTCTCCACTATCACACTTTTTTTTTAGTGGTTGTCTCTGTTTAACAGCTTTAAAGGTAAGTTTCCTTTCAGTGCTGCAACAACTTCTGAGCTAGATAGATTTTCATGTAATTCTATCTACGAGTACAAATATTCTTGGAGTATCTTCAGATAAATATATTTTTATCTGCACTTTTTTGAGCTTTTTTGTCCCCTTTTCTTTGCTTTTCTTCTTAAAGAAAAGAACCCAACAACATCAGTGTTTCATTCCCTTTGTTTTCCTTCCCCTTTTTACAAGTCAAAGCGTTACACCATAAGGTCATATTTTGTTGAGAAATTTGACTTTTGAAGTTTACTCCTCTTGTGTAAATACAAGGGAATTTGAGATCAGATGATTTTAATTCTTCATTTCTATTGTTTATGTGGCTTAAGGATTTATGGTCATTTGGCTGTGATCAACTCAAGTAGCTCAAAATCCAAATATAATGAACAATCTCGCATACATAAATCTTCGTTCGAAAAATTCCTGTATCAATCTAAATGATGAAAATGATAACTTATGGTTCTGGTTCATGAAATAGATTTCATTTCCACATATGTTGAGGTCTTCATCTTGACAGCCACTTTCTTTGATCATGTCACACAGGTCTCTGTTTCATCCATGGATGTTGGTGTTGTGCCAGACTCAACAATGAGTGATATCTCAATCTCACACCCAAGAACTCCTAAAGGGACAATTGACCTTTTCAGTGGACCTCCCATTCAGATGCCATCCCAACTAAGTCCATTGGACAGGGAGGCCAGGGTCCTAAGATACAGAGAGAAGAAGAAGACAAGGAAGTTTGAGAAAACAATTAGGTATGCCTCAAGGAAGGCCTATGCAGAGACCAGACCCCGGATCAAAGGCCGGTTTGCAAAGAGAACAGAAATGGAAGTTGAAGTGGACCAGATGTTCTCCACAACACTGATGGCAGAAAATGGATATGGCATTGTTCCATCATTCTAATTACAGCAGAAGAAAAGAGGACCCTCTTCAGATAACAATTGTACTGGTTTTTAGTTATTATTAAATATCTGCTACTGATACTTACTGTATCTTTCCCACTTATATATAATTGGTTTAAGGTAATGACATGCATGGCTCTTCTTGCCATTGCTATGCTGTAAATGCATTTGCATCCTTTTAACTTATAATATTTGACTTTCTCATAAACTACAACTTCACTGTTTGGAGTAGAAGGTGTTTCCTATTTTAAAGTTAGCAAAGACCAGGCAGGAGATGGCATGTGTAAAAATATATAGTGAATCTTTTCTGCTTAGAAGTTTCAAGTGATTTAGTACATGTCTTTCTGGAGAGGGACTGGTTTGTTTTGTTAAAGCACAAGGAGCATTCCTGTTTTTGTTTGGGCCCTTGCTCTTTTCACATGGAATATCCCATTTCCGTAGTGCCAAGAACTTTTCTGGAGGCATTTTACTGCAGCCAACTTATACTGCCAAAATGTTCACCGCTGCATACCTCGATGATTGATCTGTTAATTGGCACTTTGCTACAAAATAAAGACATGGTATCCAAGAAGCACATATATTTTCCATCCATATGAAATTCGGAAGCAGATATAAGTGAGATACAGATAGAGGGAGTGAATTCCATTTTAAAATCCACAAATGACATTCCTCTGCAAAAACATAGGACATTCTAGAGGCAGAATGAACTAGCCATTTTTATGAATTAAGTTGTTATTCCATCGCAAGCATAATCGGGGTATGTTCCTTATTGGGAATATGATGGAGATCCAGTCTGCTTTCTTTGGCAGTGGCATGGTAACTGTGCCATCTACAAGTTAAAATGCTTACTTTGTCTGAGAAAGCAAAGCTCATATTTTATCAGTAAGTGCTGCTCCTCATCAATATGGACAACACTTTCTTTCCATCAACCTTCCTCAGTAGTCTCAAAATTATAACTTTGCTACACTTATGAACATTCGGTTTTCGATGGAAGGATTTTCCATTAACATTGGAACACTTTATATGCGCAAGTATATGTGAAACCAAAGTTCAGCCGCTGAAAGTGGAATGAACATATGGAGGCTATTGAAGCTTTAAAGCTGGATGCGCTTTGGTTGCTCCGACTGTTTCCCAATAAACCTCAAGAAAAAAAAACTGTGATCATACTATTCTTGGACCCCAAAATATCAATTCCTTAGATGTAATATGTTGAGCATCTGCGATTTCCTTTCACTCCTTTTAGACATCACCACCTCCACAAACTCCTAGAAAGTAAACAAATTCCGAGATACATGTTGATGCAACTTTTTTCACCAAGGGCTAAGATTACTTTATGTGCAAGAAGGGCCTGCAAAAGGAAGGAAAGCAAGAGTGAGATCTTAGAAGCTCCGGCGGTGGTATGGCGTTGACTGACATAGAATCTGGTCCTTAAGTGCTTCACAGAAGGCATGCAAGCATGAGATGTAATATATGAGGAATATTTTATCTCAATATCTAAAAGAGAACACCTTTGATTCCACTGAACATCCAGCAAAAGCTGCAAATTGATCATCTTATTCAATGGTTTCTACTTTTTTTTAAAATTGCCAGCCATTAGCCATATGTCATGCTCCAACTTTTTTTAAGTTGCAGGACCATGCAAAAAGACAAACCAAGTCAATTATAAGAGTGCATAGAAAAAAACTGAAGAGTAATTCTCCATGAGTAGGATCTTCATCAACAAAGACATGCTGCACTTTTGCTCACCTTTTCAAAGGATGTGCACATCAAGCACATGGGAGAACAAAGTTCATCCTCAGAGAAAGAAAGAAAGAAAGAAACATAAATAAATAAATAAATAAATATATATATATATATATCATTGTATAGACTCTCAAGTAGGCCATTATCTATTGCTGTAAGATGCTGAGCTTTTGGTGAAGTCATTGTTATAAACACAATGTTGCAAAATCTGGTTTTGATGATGATGTCTTCCAGCAGATTGTAGAAAATGGTTATAAGGCGCCTTATATTTGTTTGGTTTCTACTTCCTTAAGATTTCATTTAATCCCCACTGTTAGTTTCATTATGGTTTCTACTTTCCTTAAGATTGCAGGAAACCAGAATATATCTTAGTGCACAGTTGACAAAATAAAAAATAACCCATCCTGAATATGCTAAAACGTTCAAGGTTTGCATTAACATTCTGCAATCTAGATTTGAGGTGGAAATTTGATGAGGAAGAAAAAAGTCAATAAGGTTGAAGAGAGAAGCAAAAGTGCACATCAATTGTATCTTGTGAGAGAAAAGTTGACCGCACTTTTCACTTTTCAGTACAAAAAGCAGTGTATAAAGGGTAGCAAATTTAGAGAAAGAATGAATTTGCCTAATAATGCCAAGTTGCCAGCCCTTTTGCAAAAGCTGGTGCTGGATTTGGATACCCCAGCCAGAAGCTCACACACCCTCTTGCTTTACCAAGCATTGCCACTTGGCCATGCCTTTTTACCCTTTTTATTTTTTCTTTCTTTTTATTTTTTCTCTTTTGCTGATGAGAAAAGAAAAGCACAACCACACAACTCCTCCTTGGGTAAAGCTGCTTGGCGTTGTATCTGCTGACTAAGCATTGTGACCCACTTTTCTACATCAGCATGAATCATATATACTCATCATAGAAAGAGGGTTTGACTTTAGAAGAGAGGGTAAGCTAAATAAAACAGAGTGAAAGCAAAGATATAATAAAAAGACCACCTATGAGGAGTAGAGACAATTGAAATGGGCCTTCTATATGGGCCAATACTAAGGCCCACCACCCAAACAACAATAAGAAGTCCCAATTGGATACATAAGCAAATGTGGCTACTCATCTTTTATTTTTTCCAAGGCTTAAGATCACATGGAGTTTATAAGCTTCTTTGGCTAAGGATAATCCTATCCGAAATTAGTTTTCCACCAAAGAAAGTCATGGAGTTTTACTGTGACAACCAAGCTGTGAGATAGACAGCAAATAATCTAGTTCAACATAACAAAACTAAGCATGTTGAAATGAATAGGCATTATATCAAGGAGAAGCTGCTAGACAAGCTAATCGATATACCATTTGTAAAGTTAGAAGAACAGTTGGCAGATATCTTAATGCATATGCGATGTCGATAAAGGTTTTTCATGACTCACTTGACAAGTTGAGCATGTGAGATATCTAAGCACCAACTTGAGGGAGAGTGTTGGCTAGAGCCATAATTCAGGGATCCCGTGATCCCTGATTTCCTCGTGTAATTCATGTTACCTAATTAGAATAGTTACCTAGTTAGGATTCCTAGTAATCAAGGGTTAAAATATTGGTCGTGCAGATAATATCAAGCCTCCAATTTACGAATATTTCGGGGGATATATCGTTATCGTTTTAGGTATTGGGAAAAATTCAACAAAAATGACAGATATAGGCATTGAAATACATAATTTTGGTGTAAAACTTTCATAAATGTTATATACATTATCAATGAATGTATTGAACAAATAAAACTCAAAATTTACTAATAATAAGATATACACATGGTGAAATATAAGTGGTATGTAATGCGCGTTAATGAAAAGTTTGAAAATAAAATGTTGATTAGAATGAATAAACCGTGCATAAATCCTTAGTTTGTTTAAACATTGTATTACAATTTGATAAGTGTCGATCTACATAAATGAAGAGCTCCTATGAGGTTCAAACAATGAGGAACAACCATCTAGATTCATACAATAGTCATACCAAGTCATGTAACCCGAGAAATTTGTAAGCTATGTTTGAACATGGTGCACATAGGTCTCTCTTGAGCTCCCTACTGTCCATAATTTGTTTCATCATCTTGAGCTCCATAACTAGTTCTACTATAATTAGACATGACATAACCATAGCCATCATAAGATTCATTTGAGTTAGTACTAGGTCTAGTTCCTATGCTCATAGATCCAAAATTGATCGCCATGTCCTCTTTAGATGGATTTGAGGTATGTGGGGCAGTGAATTATGCATCGATTCTTCATATTAATAAATTATAGGGTTCTGAGCAAGAATTAGCTATTTTTGGTTTCAATTTGCTTCAATTGCCTTCAAAACTTCTGAATTTTTTTTGGGTTCTGTTACAGGTATCGGAAAATATCAGGGATATCACACTTATCAGGGATATATCGTAGATACAGGGTAAGATATGGCCTTACCCCTAGTATCGGTGTCGACAATTAAAAATACTGATACATTCAATATATCGGTGTATCGACTGATATTTCAATCCTTGCTTGTAATTAGCTAATGACTTTTCCTTGTAGGAAAAGTCAACTTGTGCTTGTATATATATATATATATATATTAATATATATACTCATCTTGGAGAAATATAATATTCATTCACAATTATTTAATCTTTTTGTGTTTAGTTTGAGTGATATTGCGTTTTCTGATGTATAGGTTTTTTACTCTATAACTTACCGATAAGATATAATCTTTTCACTCTGTAAGTTCTGGTAAGATATTGACTTTTCACTCTATAACTTACCGGTAAGAAATAGGCTTTTCAGTTTATCGTCAAAATTGAAATCTTGGTGGAGGCTGTTCACATCATCTCAGTTTACCGTCTAAATTGTCTATTCATTTATAGCAGAACTAGTTAGCGATTATTATACTTTTGATCATTTATTAAATTTGGATCTCTCTACAGTATTTGATCGTTGCTAGGATGATTTGTGCGAGATTTGTTGTGATATTCCCTTTGGGGTTGAGAATTTGTTTTACAAGAAGCCAAGCCATTGGAGAATTTCTTTTTTCCTGTTTTGGGGAAATTATTTTGGGATATTCACTATTATACCCAATATAAGAGCCCAAATTATAATTAAAAAAATCCTAAATGAAATGGACTTTAGAAACACACCCAAAGCTCATTTACAACATAACAAAAAGGCTTATAACTTCTTTTAAATTACAAAACTGCCATTAATTTCTTAAAACAAACCCAACCACAAAACCTCATAAAAAATTCCAAAACACTCAATAGGGCATCAAAGTAATTTAATAATCAAAATTAAATTCAATATGGCCAACTATCATTTTTTGGGTTTTTTTTTTGGTTTGTTTATAGAAAGTAAATGGTGTAGGGTTTATTTATAGTTTTAGTGTTAAGAATGAGTATATGACTAAATATTTCATTTATTTATTGCTAAGTACAATGCGATCATTAGGATTCGGAAACACATCGGCTTTTGCTTTGCTGGCATTAATGGTCGGTACAAGGGGGTCGATATGTAATTTCCCCATAAATATCCAAAACCATGGGATTTCTTCTTTTTCTTTACAAAAATAACCGATATTCTAACACTGAACGAGATAAATTATAAAATTATATCAATGATAAAAAAAAATAGGCATTTTCGTCTTTATCTCATATTATTACGTGTGTAATTATTTTTAATATTTAAAGAGTTTAGTAGCAATGTAGCATTCAATATTTTGATCAAAATAAATTGCCTATGGTTAATCAATATATATATTTTTTGGTCATTGAAGAGTGAATATTTTCACACACATTGCAATGTGGGATTGAACCAGACCACTAAGTGATGGATATGGATACTCTCATTTATAGAACTTTATTGTTCAATAATATCATTAACTGTCAATGGGGTCTTAGCTCAATGATAAAGTTATTGACATGCAGGTTAACTCAAGAATAACTGTAATTAAATTTTAAATGAATGCGTTGATAGTCGTTTAAAGAAGTGTGTTTTTAATTTCGTGTAGCATGTAGATTAATTACACGTATGAAACGACAATTAATGTGATGATAACGGCGAATAAAAATCTTCTAGTTGATACATGATATTAAAATAGATGAGCTTTATGATTTTGTCTAATATTAGCAACTTAACCCTTGTTAAAAAAATTATATTTATTCATCAAATGTTTGGGTGATATAGGCTTCTGAGTCACTCCATATGTGAGAAATTCAGCCTTAAAGTTATTTAATAAGTTCAAATCACTCCTAAGATACCTCACGTATCACTTAACATGTTCTAAATTAATTTTCCATTACTTAACATGTTCACGGATTGAGATTCCAGAAGAAGCCAAGCAAACTTTGCCTCTAGCAAGCAGCAACAAGGATAGAGGTGATGACAGGGCACCAATTTGGACATTGTTTGAAAAGACAATTTGGTCCTTTATCTTGCATTGGATTTACAGAACTAACTTGGAAAACGACGTGGCTGCATCTTTGAGTGGTTGTAGTTGGTTCACCATTTAGCCCGTAATTATTTGCGGCTGCATCTTTGAGTGGCCGTTGTATCATAATTATTAATCGATGATCAACCAAATGCGTTGGCACTAGTTATATGGATTATCCATTATAAAGAATAAGGAGGCCCTACAATTTCAAGAAGATTGAATTGAATTCGTGTCTAGAAAACTCTCAGTTTGGTTTTTTTTTGTGAAACAGTAGCACTTCAATTGAAGAAACAGGGTACAAACCCAAATTACAACAATAAGAACACAAGCCTGGAAGGAGGTTCTTGCAATACAAAATTTAACAACACCACCAACTAAGCTCAAGTGTTACAAGATAGTTAGAAAACAAATTTACAACTTTAAGCTCATCTAACAAGGAGTTACAGATAATGAGGATCCTATTTCTGCAGCAACCAGTGCTTAAGAAAGATCAAGACAGAGAACAAATTCTCATACTTCATGGGACAGGAAATACTCTAAGGATGGAGGGCAATACCGCTCAACTTCCACTAGGATATTTCAAAAAATATCACAGCATCTCCTAATCCCCCTTGATCCGCAAGCACAACAAAGTAGATCCACCAAAATCAGCAGCTCCACCTCCAAAACAGAAAGATCGACACTAGATCTACCACACAAGTAGCAGATCTAGCAAGATCAGCCAAAAACTAGCCCCAAAAGACTGGGAACCAGACCCTCAAGAAAAGAGGGAAGAAACAAACCCTTGCAACAGCAAGGAGCAAGACAAAACCCAACAAAAGTTGGGAGGGAAAACCTCTCCACAACATAACCGGGGGGGGGGAGGAGAGAGGCCCGGATTATTAACTGAAGGGGGTGGTTCCAGGGGAAATCCCCTGGAACCAAGGAGAAAATCATATCTGTGTTGGCTTTGGGTTGGAAGGAGAAGAAGAGTCAAGAAGGTTGGTTAGAGGGTTTTTTTTTGTTTTATCTTTTTTACCAATGTAGTTTCTACTCTCAGTTTGGTTTGGTCCACATTCTTGTTCCTTTTGTTTTGGGCCACTTTCCATTTTGGTTCTAATAATTTAAGTTGTTTAACCATGTAGTTTTGTACAATTAAGAGCATCTCCAATAATAGTAGTAAATTAAACGCTTTAAATTAAAATTTGTTGACATATATGGCAATTTAAAAAGATTTATTTGCTACTTGAATAATTTTTGCTCTAATAGATTCTTCAATTTAATTAATGCAATATCATGAAAAAAGAATGAAAACATATGAAAAATGTCTATGTATCAAGTCTTTCAAGTTTAACTAACAATGTTAAGAAATTTTTATGGAATTCTTTAGTTTTCGTATTGGGATGATTGCAACCGTTATCACGTCGAATTTCATCTATTAATTCATCAAAATTTATGATTTCAACTTATTACAAACCAAACCAAACTACATCACAGAAAATGTCAAAATCCAAAATAACATGGACCAAAGTGAAAAATGAGTCAAACTTGATGACCAAAAACGTAATTTAGCCTAAGAATAAATTATCATATCAAAAGCAGTACTCGTCACTTTATACAATCCACTTCCATATTTTCTTTTTGGTGGTGGTGGTTTAGGGGGGGAGGGGGGGCGGTCAATTTTCCAAGAGCACAAATGGTGGAGAAAGGCCTCTGTTGTAGCCAAAGTGTCAGATGTTCCAACTACAACAAATGGAACATCCCAAGTTGAACTGCTTAGTTCTACATTTTACTTTTCTCAATAAATATTGGTAAAGCAAGCTGCCTCAATCATCTGAGCTATATTCACTGGATTCTGGAAGTACAGCAACAGCAGCGCAGCAAAACGACTCTTTATCCTTCAGGAGAAGACAGCTTCCATCCGAATTCCATTTTAAATCGACTATGCTAAACTGTGGTAGCGGGATACTCACACAGTAAGCACCCGCAGGAGTCCACATGTACAAATATGAGCTTCCAGTGCAAACAACGAGACGCGTGCACATAGGGTCCCAAACTGCTGCTCGAATTGGATCTTTCTGCACCAAGATAGTGGCAAGCTTGAATGAAGACGTCCGTCCTTACACAAAGTCAATGAATAAAAGCAGCTGATTCCACATAATGAGGTATTTAAAGTATTCAAGGTCATTGGGAAATATCCCATGCAAACATATTTGATTGAAATATCGATATCAAACTCTGATATAGGTCCAATTAGAATCAATAAACTTGACACCACAACTTAGTTCCTCAACTTGCAACATTCGTCCAAAAGTATGACTGGGCTCAACCATCATGGCCTCTCTCAAGGACATTGAACATGATCTGATGGCTGGACGGATGCATTTATGAACACTTAAGTTTCTAAGTGCATCTCCACTCTGCTAATGTAAATAGCTAGAACAAAGACCAGTTTGATTGTTTTTCAGCAGATTAGGTTTAGCTTCATTTAAAGGCTATATATTACAGGAGTGATTACAGGAGTGAACATGATCTGATGGGGTCTACAAAATTTGTATTTATTTGCATACCAAAACAGTACAAAGGGAGAAAGGGCTTACCAATTCCTTGTTTGGGGTTAGGTTTGTCTGCAGGAGGCTTCTGGAAAGGCAAACTAATGGGCACTTCTGTAACCTCGTACCTAACTCTGAAATGTCCTTCAAGAAGCATCTACTTGGAAAGAAAAATAAAAAAATAAATATGGGGGAAAGAAGAAAAGTAAAGGGATCCAATCACAAGGCAGAAATGAAACCTGGCAAATACACACACACACCAACAACAGGAAAAAAAGGAAGCTGATATAGAATACTAAAGTACTAAACAAGAATGTAGAAGGGTAGTGTATGCAGACAAATGATACAGAACACTACTTTCATAGTTTGCAAATGTTTTATAAGTTAAGAAAGAACAGCAATCCTGCTTTTGAGAAATGTACCAACAGTCATGCTTACCATCATTGCCTTGTGCAAAATCATCACTTAAACATAACTCGGACTTATCAAGCAGCAGTGGCTCATCTACTTCCTGTCGTTTTACAAATTAAGGGGGTGAGAAATCATCCAACAAACTAAAAGAACATGATATCTGGCTATCTAATATATTAACAAAAATCACCTTAAAAACAGCAGCACAACAGGGAGCACGGACAGTAGATAGATGCATAAATTCAGCAAAAATCTTCCAAGTCAGGTGATTCAAAACCCGCAACATCTTGTCATAACTACCCACTGCTAGAAACTGGCCACAAGGAGACCATGAAACACTTTTTACGCCCAATCCACTTTCATATGCTTGATACTTATATAGGCACCTCCCATCTGGGGAGTACATTTGAACCTGTAAAAAACCACAACATGATTTTTTTTTTTTTCCAAACTAAACCATTATTTAACAAACTTACTGCACATCATTTTGGTTTAACAAAGCCAAAAGAAATGAAGAGGCCACCTTATATTCGAGAGGCGAATCCCATATCACTATTGCACTGTCATCTGGTGACCATTCAGTATCAGACAATTCCAACGTGTCCACTGCAAATACACCCATTATCTCCCATGTATGACAAGACAGAAGATTAATGTAGTCCTTGCAATCACGCCTTGCGCAAATTGCCGCAAATTTCCCATCTTTGGTAAAAGAAATGCCCTTGGAAGGATGCTTTGGCCATTGCACATGTACACATGCACACATGCTGTGTTTAATAGTGACCAAACTGTTAACGCAGTTGGAAGTCTGATGTGGTAAGTATGCGACGGCTGTCCAGGCTCCATCTAGCATACGCAATACCAGCAGGACCTTCATCTATCTTGCATGTCCATTCAGGTTGGGCCAACCACCATGCCTGTAGGCTGTATCATTGGTCTTTTATATAGACCACAAAGAATGTACTCAGAATTGAGGGCCCATTCGATAAAGCTTATCTTGTCCAAGCATGAAAACAGCTGCACAACCTGCATTAGAAATTTAGAATTTAATTATGTATAAGATAAACTTACATTCAAGATGTACGCAATGGAGTTTAGCACGTCAATTGTTAAGTCAGACAGAAGTTGTTGTACAACAGCAATGAGTGTGAGGCATGCAGAAACCAAATATAGGATGCAAAGAAAATAACTGTTTCAACTGTTTAGTCATTATTGCTTATGTCCAAACTTTTGAGGGTATATTTCTACCTCCACAAAAGCCTAAACCTTATAACTGCTCATGAACCCTACCATACAAACATCTCACAATGGAGCATTACTCTATGTACTAATGTACCTTTTATGACTCTTATGGTCTACTTGAATGGTTACGAAGAGAGCTCATATTAAGTAACAAAGAGAAACCTCAACATATTGAAATCTTCAGTCTATGTAAACACTTGTTTAAGAACAGTAAAATGCATGAACATATAGCGGCCAAAATTCACTTTGAATCGCGTTAGATATCTACAAGGTGAAAAACTCTTATCATAACTAAATGTGATTAGATCCTTAAAATGGAGATCGATGTTTATAATTGTTTTTCTTCTAATTTCTCAGCAATCAAACAGATTACAGCTTATTGAAGTTACATTGGCTTTGTCAACAGCGAAATGCAAAGGGTGAGATCTACATAAATTTAACTATTCAGGAGTCAATGCCAATCGGTCCAGCTACCATTTGGTATCCGCGCAAATGTAGCAGCTTCAATTTCCTTGCATTTTCTCGGCAACCAAACGGAGCACGAAAAATAAATTTATTAAGAAAAACTAAAAAACGATAAAATTTAAAATAGAAATAAAAAATTGGGGAAATACCTTGAAGGAAAGAGTGTCGCGAATAACGAGGCGATAATCGACGGCGACGGCAATGTAACGAGCATTGGGTGAGAAACAACAAGGACCCGTCTGCTTGTAAGTTCTGTGAACTCCATTCACATTCAGATAAAATTTTCTGAGACGCAAGTTTCAAATGCGTTTGTTTAACAACGCCAGCTTACTGTTAAGCTATCGGAGCACTTTTTGCTACTTATATTTCAAATTCAAACTGCACCTATGAAATAAACGTATTGAAGTAGTGGTGGTTACTGTTGCTGGAGAGTGTTTTGGATTTGGAGTGAGATGAGATCTGTGAGAAGAGCCTTTCAACCGGCTAAATCAAATCAATTCGCTTTTTTATTATTTATTTTTTAAAATTCAAAAAAAAAAATTTAATACAAGCAATATATTTTTTAATCTAATCTAAATTATTGGGAAGGGGATTTGAACTTGTCTGCAAAATTTGATTACTTGAGTTCAATATTTACCCATAAAAGCCTCATTTTTCTATATATTTTTTTTCTTATGTCCAAAATATGATTTTATGGCTCGAGTCAATTAGGATTTAAGTTGGTTAAATCAAATCCTAACTTAAAAGGATAGAAATGTCATTGGAATTGATCAAGAAATTAACAAACTTTATGCAAGTGGCACATTGAACGGTTTTCAACAGTTATCGTGCTCATAACAAATTGAAAAGTTTAGGGAGATTCACTATTTTACCCAATATATGAGCCCAAATTATAAAAATACCATATATGAAATGGACTTTAAAAATACACCCAAAACTCATTTACAATATAACAAAAGGCTTTTAACTTCTATTAATTTACAAAACTGTCATTAATTTCTTAAAACAAACTCAACCCAAAACCTCATAAAAAAGTCTAAGACACTCAATAGGGCATCAAAGTAATTTAATAATCAAAATTAAATTCAATAGGGCAAGCTGTCATTTTTTGGGTTTTTGTTTTGTTTTGTTTGTTTATAGAAATTATACAAATTTATAAATAAATCCAATCCTAGACATGTATTTATAAAAAAACCCAAGCACTATTTAAACATAGAAACACATCCAAAATCAACAATTGTATATTTTTTGGGTGTGTTTATAAATGGGTTTTGAGTGTGTGTAATGATAGGTTTTGGGTGTGTTTATAAAGTCTTTTGGGTGTTGGGTTTTTTTTTATAATTTCAGGCCCCATTTTGGGTGTTTTAGTGAAACTCCTTAGAAATTAAATGGTGTAGTGTTTATCTATATTATTAGTGCTAAGAATGGGTATATGACTAAATATCTCAAAAGTTTATAAGGCAAAGTGAAAAAATGCTTATAGTTCATGAGGCGTTGCTTAAAAAATCATTTTATATAAACATTTCTATAGCGACAAAATTGATCTCGGACAAGTCCTATGTCGGCAAAATTTCAACAGGATAGGTCACCTATTATTTTTGTTTTGTTATTAAGTAATATCTTAGCATTATTAAATTACTTTTATTAGTAATATTTATAAATTTAATTCATAATTAGTATTTTAATATTTTAATTAATTAAATAAATTACTTAATAAATAGTGATTGATTATATTGAAGTATCTTAAATAAATATTTGGATTTTAAAATTATTTTAAAAATAATTTAAATAATTTAAAATTTCTAGAAAATTATTTTAGTACTCTAAAAATTGATTCAACCCTCCAAAAATCCAAGTCTCTAACCAAAAATTCTAGTCTATGAACTTATCCGAACTTGTTCCAAAACCATTCGCAAGCCTTGAACCCTAACCCTAAATCTACTATAGGGCACTTAGGATTCAATTAGGCTTCGATACTTATGTAACTGACCTATGACTTTGCGATTAAGGTTTCGATCTCAATCTTGGGTTAGTACAACATAACCGAACCTATGGAGTGGAACTTGGGCCTCCCCTTTGGATAAAGCTTGGACTATATGTACATAATAATTATATTTAGTAATCATAGACTTGGCCTTAGGCCTTGGGTTAGTATGACGTAACTAATTCCTAGACATGTCTTGGCGAATTTTGTTAGGATAGACCTACTCCAACGAAATTTTGTATCCCGACGAACTTTGACGGGATAGACATAATTAATAATTAATATAATTAAATAAGGCTAAGATATTACTTAATTGAAAATATTAAATTAAACAAACTAATTTTAAATTTAAAAAATAGTCCACAAAATAATTTAAAATAATTAATTAACATTTATTAAGTAATTTTTGAAATTAGTAAAATATTTAAATACTAATTATTCACTAAAGAAATAATAATTAAAATTTAATTACTAGTTAAAGTAATTAAAAAAGGCTAAAATATTACTTAATTACATATATTAAACTAAAAAGAATTTGGCCATAAAAGAAAAATTGAAGAAACTAATTTTATATTTAAAAAATAAAAATAAAACCTCTCCTAGCGAAATTTCGTCGGCATAGACCTATACCGACAACATTTGCTGGATTAGACCTTTTCTGACGAACATTTGCCGGCTTAGAACTCCACCGACGAAATTGCGTCTGCATAGACCTTTGCTGGCAAAGATTCGTTTGGAGAGGTCCGACAAATTATTGTCAACAAAGGTCTATGCCGAAGCCATTTCATCGGGAGATGTTTTTAAAAAAAGAAAAAAAAGAAAGTGAAATTAGTTTCTTTAGGTCTATAATTTTTTAATCAAATAATATCATAGCCTTATTTAGGGATCATCATTTGGCCCGTAGACTGAAGTGGGTAGCCCGATGGGTCAAAGCTCGGCCCAGTCCGTTTTAAGGTTAGGTAGCTTGGGTTTAGGATTTGAAACCTTCAGCCCGACTTGGTATTTTTTTTGTCTTTTTATTTTAATTTACTTGATATTATTTCATTTAAGTAAGTTTATAATGTAAATAAGGAAGTACACCCCTATTTGGATTCAATTGCAAATACTAAAAAATAAAATTCCCAACAAATCAAAATATGAAAATTCAATTTTAGTATAAGATACAGTTTATACCAATATTGAGACCTCATAAAATCATGTTTGATTATTTAGATGTAAGGAATATAAATCGCCAAAGATATCATTGTAAACATAGTATTTCAAAAGTCCATTTTTCATACTTAGTCAAATTTTGAGAAAAAACAATTTTTCAAGTATGATATGTAATAACCTATATTATTGTTTCAGAGTTATGTAAGGCAAACATAATTTTAGTACCTTGAGGTTCTAAAGTGCAGGTGATTGCTAAGTGTGTAGGTGCCAACCTAGTTAAGATGTACATATATTTAGTTGTGCCAACCTAGACTACATCAAACACGATTTTAATGATAAGTTGTTTGTCATGCAAAATTAAGAGGGATAAGTTGTTTGTCACACTAAGAAAATCTAATTTAGTATACATTTTTCTTCATTCTCCTTCTTTTCATCATACAATACAAAGAGGCCAACCTTTTTCTTTCTTCTCATTCTTTTCTCTCAAGAGATAATCAAATTAGCATCCATTTTTTTAGTTGGTCCTCTGTATCATTTATCCCTTTTTGCATAATTTGTTTGACCATTTCACTATTCATTTTTGGCGTCTTCCTTAACTTTCTCTAACCCCTCACCTCCCGGTATCAGCCATCAGGTGTCCTAAGCAAATGACATTGTATAGTAGATTGCCACCTCTCATGGTGACATCTACAGTCACGTGAGCATCACAAATGTTCTGCAGCATGAGCTACACCCACGCACACATGCGCACACACACACACACACTCTTTCTCTTTCTCTCTCTCTCTCTCTCTCTCTCTCTCTCTCTCTCTCTCTCTCTCTCTATATATATACACGAATGAGGGACACTTTGGATTCAAGTTTTGGGGGACGCTTTGACCACTTTGGACGCAAGTGGACACTTTGGCTTCAATCCAGGCCAAAATTCAATTCAGAAAATTGCACACATATATTGGCTTTAACCGATAAGTTGTTCGTCATACTCAAAAAATTGCATACGTATATTGGCT